CAAGGACACGCTGAAATATGTATGTACAAGTATGTGGTATAGAAGTGAAATTAAATGCACGAGCAGCGAAAATGCGTAAAATGCCCACAGTCCTTTCATTCACTTTCCCCTCGCCCTGTTCTGTTGTCCGTTTACCTACTCGCTTGCTCTAATGTCTATATTTCATTATTTGTATTTACTCGTCGCTAACTTTTTCAACGCTCCCACTGGCTGGCTGTTGTCTTTGCCATGTCCTGCACCATTAATATTATTATCCTGCAGCGTCGTTACGCTTGGTTGCATGCTTAAGCGAGCGCACAATCGAGTATCCTCCGCAATATTTGTTTAGAGTCAAATAGTCAATGGGTAACGTTGTTGTTGTTGTTGCTATTACTTTTGTTGTTGCTTTAATTTAGTGTTTGTTTATATGTATGTTATTGTCTTTTTCGTATTTTGTTGCAGCACTTTTATTTATTTAATGTACGCTGGTGTCATCGCCCACATCGGTGGAAATGCGTGTTCGCGCGTGTTTGCTGCAAAAACTCTATGTCGCTGTTTGTCATTTACAATGAAAGCCCATAACTCTTTTCTCACCCTCCTACTCTCCCCCCACGAATCAGTGCTCAATTGCCTGTCTCCGCCGTTTTAGTTGCATTTATTTATTTGCCATTAAGCGAATTAGTGTGTCTAATGCGTTAAATGTTGTTTCGAATTGCGAAATGGCGTGAAAGGGGTTGAAGGGAGCTCAAAAATACCAGGGTTGCACAGGTTACATATCTACTTATGCATGCCAATAAATCTCAGCTTTAAATAAAGCAAATTTTTAATTCACACATAATTGAATATAATTTCATAATTTTTGATTTCTTAGCGTTTTTCACATTTTTTTTTTATCAACAATCGAGTTTCTTAGTAAGTTGTGTCATTACATGAGAGCTTGTCAAATATTTATTTACTAAAATAATGCTGTCGTTGAAATCGATAAAAATTATTTATCGATACGCTGAGGTTTAAAATGATGTCCCAATAGAACAAAATGTAATAATGTAGCTTGGCACGAAGTTAACAAAAGGTAAACTGTCAACAAAACCAGAAATAAACACTTTACACTCAAAGAAATTACGCGAATTAGTACGTTAGCTTTCCTTCGATCTGAGAGCTACCTTCTGTACCCTTCAAATTTTGTTTATTCCCCGCCGATCGATTTTGGGTATTTGGAACACTCTGTTTTCTGTAAAAAATACCAAAACAATTAAATGTCAGAAAATTGTGTTAAATTAAATGAAATCTGTAAACTAAAAAAAAGTAGATACAAATTTATAAAAATATTAAAGTGTATTTTGGCATATCTCACGCAAGACATTGAAACCATCTACGAGTACACTTTACCAAATGTTACAGAATTTAACCCTCACTAAGTGCTCCTCACACATGTCTACAAATGTATCAAACGAAATACTACGCGCTAAATGCTTTCGAATTCATCCTTATCATCATCCACCGTATGATGTGTCTGTGCATTAGAAGGAAAAGAATTTAGTGCTAAATACGGACCGCTTGTGAAGTTAAAAGACCTTTCCTGCACTTGGGTGGTTTCTTTGCCCCGCGCTTTATAGTTTCACATACAATGAAAATAATACCCAAATTGTTGGTGCTTTTGTTGTCGACTGACGATTACATATGCCAGGCATTTATTGTTGTACCAAAGTGTTGTACAACAAGTGCATATTTGTAGTTTCCGTTCCAAGTGTGTTGTTACAATTGTTGTCAAACAAACGAGGCACCCACTCACTCTCTTCACGAGAGCATATTATATGGGTTGGTGAACAAGCAAAGAACAAGTGGGTGGATGATCCGAGGTATTTTTGGTTTTGCGCTGGGCGGTTTGTGTACTTGTTTATTGGAATCACTTCCGTTTAGCATTTCGGTCTTTAACCGCGTTGTGGGATAACAATGTCGCTGTGTGCGTTGTACGTGTAAGTGCGTGTTTCCTCGCTTGTGCTTATCCTTTAGCGTATGAGGGTGTAACTTTGTGACTTTTAACATTTTTTTTTTGTTTCACCCCTTCCTTTCTTTGACTTTTCTTTCTACTGCCTTCAAGGGTAATAATGAAATAAATATTTTGCTAAATGATTTCGTACTTTACATTTACTGCCCTTTTTGGTTTTTTTACTCTGATTTTAGAGCGTGGAATTTTCCCTTGGCCTTATCTCATCATGATGCATGATTTTCAATTAGTTTGATGCGCTTTTGGTAGTGTGTATGGGGTATTAGGGTGAGGATCTTTATTAGTGAGAATTTTTTTCATTTTCTTTACCTTCAGCTACCACCCTAGACTCCGAATAATTGAGGTTATGTGACTTCTTCGCTGTATTTCTCGATAAATAATTTTTAGCTTCTTGGGAATTTTATTTACTTCTGAATGCAGTTAGTACTCCCGCTTAAGCAATTCACAAATTTACTTCATCCCTAATGCTTAAAAAAACTCATATGCCGCGTTTTTCAAATAAGTTGTAGTGATTTTTGGTGTATGTCTTCCATTCTTATGTCACATTTAAGGGCGGTTGAATTCTCCTTCATCTAAATTTATTATCGTAGCTTTCCTCTTTTTGCGGGCAGAAAGTTAATTTTTTAAACAGCATTTTTGACACTTTAAACTATATTTATTGCTGCTTTTGGTACAAATGTAATTTCAAAATGCACTTTTCCGCAATGGATTTAATTTGGTGAAGTGGAAGGCAGTCCTGGCAGAAAACTGGCCCTACCATTTCCAAATTCTAATTTTTAGCTCAATAATAATATTCAGCGCTTAGGCGTTAAATTATGGAAGCTGAATTGATGCGAACACTCAAATTTCAGAAGCTTCTGACCTAATTCCAACTTCTCCTAATGATGACATATTTTTAGGGCATTGGTTCAACTGAGTTCCTATGCAGTTGTTGTGTTGTGTATTGAGCCTTGAACCAACTTCAAAGCTGAAAATTGATAATTATTTACACAATTTCTATTTACTATTTTACAAATACATACATATGTATATATGTATATATATATATACATATGTATGTACTACCAAGCACCCTCCTCTTCATATCCACACAACATGGCACCTTCAAGTAACCAATCCGTTAGCACAATATTTTCGAAGTCGTTGGCAACTCCACCTCCTGCTGGCCTAATAGGAACAAATTAAAGAGGAAACTAAACCAATTGAAAGAATTCGCAATTTCTGAAACAATTTTCGGTCATAAATCAAGCGATAATAAAAACCAACTAAATGAATGAAAAAATCTTGAAAAATTATTTTCACAATCGACCAAAGCTAAGAAAAAATACTGAAAGCAAATAGCATGTCAGCAACATGCGGCAGCAACGTTGAGTAACTTTCAAGTAAATGCGCCAAAATAAAAAAAAAATTGTGGAGTTAACAATAAAACAACTTTGAGTGAGATGAAAATAAATAAAGCTACGTTAACTAAAATTCTTAGATTTTCCGCGCCAAAGCAATGCCCAAGAAAGTTGCCGGCTGATGTTGACTGCTGCTCGCTAAGCGCCATGACAGCGTCCAGCTGAGCTATGTGCAATTTAAAAACTACAAGAAAAAAATACTAAAATAAGAGAAAAGCAACACAAAAACGAAATTTACTTTGCGGAAAAAAATTTAATTGAGGTGACATTTTCGCGACAGTAACGGCAACAGCTGTCACCAACTGCAATCAAGCGGCAAAGGCAAGCCAACAACGTTGAATATTATATGTATGTTTATGTATATGCAAGTATGCGTATACGCCCCGTTGGCTATGCGTCACAAAAGCAAAATCAGCTGCTGGAAATTAGTGGCGACTAACACAAAGATGTTTAATTAAAAGAATTTTCATTGCAGTATTCTTTTCTTGCGCTTTTTCCCTCTCACCTATACACCTGTATTCCTACGCGTGTGTGTGTGTCTGACGTCTAATTGTGTCCAATTTTTAATAAAGCACAACTTGCAGAGGTAGAATATTTTTAATTACTCCCCCTGTCCGCTGCAAGGAAGGGAGAATACTAATTGAATAATCATGTGTACGTGTACGTGTGTGTGTGTGTGTATTTGTAGAACAATGGCTGGATAGTACGATGATGGAGGACGTCATATGCGTACAAAATTTTTACATTTTTATTATCAAATTTAACTTCATTTGCACTGCCGCATGCTGCTGCGGCGCTTAATTTTTCTCTTCCGTGTCCATTGATTTTATCTATTTTAACCCCAAACTGTGGCATAAATTGTTTCTCTGGTAACCGTCACACGTGTGTCGTCTTTACTTTGTTTCACGCATAATTTTAGGCTGACATTTTTTGTTTAGCACTTAAAATTTGTTATCCTTTTCCTGGAAATGTTTACTATTTTCTTGTTTTGGGCTTAAAAAGGGTTATTTGGCGTGTTAAAATTGTGTTCGCGTCTATGTTCGGCTATAAAATTACGATAAAAATTATATTTCCCTGTGGTGTAGAGATAATCTTCACGTCCTTTCCATTACTAAATTAATTTATTACCATTAATTAACTTTTTTTAAATCAACATTTATATATACAAAAAATTGCCTACAGATTTTAAGGGCAAAAGCTTGCTGAGTTTTGGAAACGAACTCTTCCTTTGCTGTTTATTTTTGGGAAACAACTTGGGGACTCTGAAACGCTATCCCCAGTCAACAAGCGAGGGACCAATGCACTCTTGTTATCTCGTCAATTTGATTTAGGGCTGACATAGCTTCGAAGTATGTTAACCTCGCCTACAAGGAAAAAACCTAGGGGCAACCAATATTGTCTATGGTTAGGTTTTCAGGAATTCACCCGAGACAAGACATCTCTATCTTTAAGGGCATCTAATGCAGAATTGCTCCTTCGACAGTGGGACCTTCCTATCTATACGACGCGATTTCTTATTCGGCCATGGAAAAATTAATTTTTAGAATATTTTTATACAACAACATGCAGAAAGTGCTCCAGTTTAGGGCCGAATACTGGAAAACCCAAGAACAAAACGGAGAACAAAGCTTTATTGGTTTTTTCCATCAGAAATTGTTTATGTTAAATGTTAACTTCAGTAGCTCTCAAACTATACGTTACCGGGAAACGTTTCTTTCGCGTCATCTATTGGCGGGTAGCTGCAACGCTACCATATTCACGGCTAATAGCAAGCGTTGCTTTCATGCAGTTGCGACATTATCCGCTATAAAATTTGTCAACACAATGGAAAAAATGTCAATTTTGAATTTTATGCCTAAGTATTATACATGGAAGTCTTAATATTACGGCTATCTAGCTTAAATTTTAAAGTATTACACTTAATTCACTACAGAATGCATTTGTTCCAGCAATACCTCGGAAGGAATTATTCGCATTTTTGTATGCGGTCAGCTATTCCTTCGGTCGCCAACTATACTGTTGCAGTGTTTTACGCACCTCCTTCAACTCGTCCAGTAATGCCGCCACATTTGCACGCTCAATATTCAACACGTGTGTGGTATCCTCCGGCAATCCATCGACCAGCTCCTGTGAGATTTTCAATTCGAATTTTGCGCAACCAACGGTGTTATCCGGATGTTCCGCTGAGGGTGGTATATAACGCACCGATGACAGTTCATTAACTTATGGTGCAATGATGAAGAAAGAGACAAAGAGTAATATATGTTTAATTAAGTGGAACTGTACCGTAACACTTACTTCTGAATGCTTTATCTTGAAGGCGTTGGCGTATTTGTGTCACATTATCCGCTAAAACATGGCACATGGCAGCGGCGTGCTCCTTTGGCAAACCCAATTGTTGAATCTCTTCACTAAACACCGTCTCGCTCACAGCATGCCGTGACGCGTTGATGAGCAAAAAGTGTATGCAAGCGACAATGGATTTGCCATCGTTGGATATGTCTGCTGTTAACGCTTTAATTGCATTCTCCTGCTCAAATGAAATATGCGTACATACATATAAATGTATATAGCAGTATATTTTAAAGAAAAGGATTTGAACTTACCTCGAACTCTCGCCCAAGAATTCTCTTGGCAACCAACCCCGCCAATGTCTCCAGATTCTTAGCGCTGAGCACAGATAGTGTGGATATAATTTCTGCCAACACCCAGTCGGGACAGTCGCCATCGCCACAGAAGCGAAATTTCTACAAAACAAATAAAATTTAATTACTTGTAATTAGATATTAAAGAAATTAAATAACTATTAAGCAAATCAATGAGTTTGAAGAAATACGACCATTAGCGAAGTAAATCGTTTCACTATTTTTAAGCACGGCTGTAATGTATGTGGGTATTATAACTTTGTTAAAAAAACTTTTGGAAAAAGCTCTTTTGCAGATGTAAAAGACTTCACAGTTCTACCCGAATTGAGCTCACGTTTTATGTAAGCAAATAAAATATTTTTGCATTCAAAAGAGCTATCTGTGTATGACTACATTATTTATATACATATATATATATATATATATATATATATACATTTGAGTATGCTAATTAATAAAACATATTTACTTATACACGTCCCACTTCATTCAAATGCAAACATATTTCCATACAGACATATTTGTTTGAGTTTCCATCTTCGTAGTGAAATACTGTCTGTTTGTTCGCCTGCTTGTTTGTTGGCCAACTCGTAGAGAAGCAATTAATAATTCCCTACACTTAACTGTCAGCATAAACGCTGAATTTATGACACTTGTTGCTTCTGATAATTTGTCGTTGAAAAGCGTACATCAGCCATCCTTTTACCACCCTCTTGTCGGCAATCCAAGCAGCTGATAGTTGGTATTAGTAGCACATACATACAGTTTGTTGTTGTTACCCCTTTTTAATTTGCTCAAGCGTTAACGCCAAAAAGCATGCTACAATTATTTGTATATCATTTTGAAATGCATAAAGTGTAACGGTTTAGAAAAAGAGCACCCCCACCCCAGCTCCTGCATTTTACTTTACAGTGTGCTAATCGTTGACATTTTCTGTTTTGTTAGCTGTAATTATTTTTATTAACCGTATGTATGCTTTTCTTGCGAATGTAAATATGTACGGTCATGTCTATCATGTAGTATGCAATGTTAGAGTTCTTTCGTATCCTTAGATCCTTTTCAGCACGTTTGCTATAAATATTCGTTGAAGTTTCCAACTCTTCACAGTTTGTGCTCAACTGAAAACGGATTAAGTACATATATTGCGTGCGCTTAACAATACAACAACCAAATCGTTTTCTGTAATACGCTTGCCGCGTAGCGAAATCAGATCAAATTTTTATTTAACTCAATATAGGTAATTCGTCGAACGCTAAGTGTTTAAAAATTAAAGAAAAAAAAACATATTCCTATGTACAGTTAGATTGTGTATAAGTGAGATAAAGTGCCTAATAACTTAACGAGAAAAAAAGTTATTTATCTATTTCCACCGTGTTTCTCGTTACAGCCGTTTCAACACTTTAGTCAACATGCACATAATCAACTCCATGGTTTTCATAACTTTAATGATGTTCTTATGCCAAAATACATCTGTCAACGCACAACCAGTCGTCGATGAGCTTACGACTTGTGAAGATCAGTTGGCAAAATATCGCCGGTTTCTACTGCAAGCAATACTAAGCTTTGAAGACGTTTGCGATGTTTACGATACGCATTCAGTTAATCCTTTCGAAGCGTTTTATAGACAAGACCAGCAGGACACTGTTAACGCGCCTCTGTTCCGTGCCCTACAAGCTGGTAATGCTGCCGCTGAGCAACGCAGTGAAATTTGGGCTTTGTTCAAACTGCTTATGGCACAATTTAATGACATGGATTTTGTGAATATCATTAAAGAAGCTGTTATTGACCGTTGCCGCATCAAATCGCAGCAACAGCATGATGAAAAGCGCAATTCTGTTGTACTCGGCAAGAAGCAGCGATTCCATTCATGGGGCGGCAAGCGTTCACACCTTGACATGGACGGATCAAGCATGAATATGTTGTAAACGTGCAACAAAATCTGCTGAATGATTACATTGTACAAACTTTATTCATTTTTTAGGGCTGGATACATTTAATTATTGTAAAAAAGCACTTGCACAAAAACGCATGTAAATTTCAATATCTATTTTATGTTGTCTACACTGCAATTACATTAAAGTACAGAAAGCATAAAATTGTTTTTTTTTTCCTTTTTTACTTTGCAAAACTTACCATTTTGCTTAAAACTTTTTAGATTGTGTTTAAAGTGTTCACTTTTTGTGGAAGATTGAAAAATTTTTGCACAAAATATCAACAGAAAACAGCTGTTTTTAGTATAAGTTGCCAACAGCCAAGTCAAATGGACATGAAAATTAATAACGTTGCCAACCACTTTTATGGTGGTTGTCATTACTTTGTTCCGCCGGAAAAGCGTTTTTTCGTCAAATTTATATCTGTGTAATAAAATATTGCTGCAAACGTTTGCTTCAACATAACATTATATTTTAAATAAAAATGATGAAATTTGCTTAATTATCTATTGATAAAGTGTTTGTGCTAAAGGAAAATACTATAGACAAAGAAGCACCGCTCTTTATGAAGAAAGCGTTTCACTTCCTGTTGGCTCAAAATTGTTATAAAAAGTGAAAAAAGGAATGTAGTGAATTAGATTTAATAACAAATAAACATATATTTAAGCAATCCATTTGGGTGAGTGTTCCAACAGGAGTTAGATCAGTCAAACCGTAAGCCCTTTATTTTATAAATTGTAATTATTTTAAGTATTGCTTAGATTGAAGAAATAATTTCTCACAAGCCCGATTTCTTGCATGGAAAATTCATATTAATTACCAACGAAATGGAATTTACGGCCGATTATCGGTAAACATTCAATAAAGGCAAATATGTGTAAGCGCCTACAAAAACATCAGCCAACCACTAAATTAGTGGGAGTTGCTTGAGCACCACACACAAAGCCGACACAAAAAGCCATCTAAATAATCTGGTACTGCACCAGCGGCTTATTCGCATTTCCCACTCCACTCAGTCACGCATGCGCCGACGCAAAAGCCATTGCTAACAAAGAAATGGTAAAGGAAGGAATCCCAAGGAGATAACCAAACCTTGCTTGAAAGATATGCAGTCCAAAGACTGCGTGGGCGTGAATTATCAGCGAATGTTTGTTACTTTGGCGTGTAAATGTGCTACAGTGACTTTTCCATACTTTTTTTTCGCTTTACTGAGAGTAGTTTAATAAAATTGCCGCTGCATGGTTAACAAATGTTAGAGTTGCTAACATTTGACTGCCGTCGTTATGTTGCCTTGTCTGATTTATTGCCATTTCCTACAAACACCGACAATAACAAGCAAAATAAAAAAGACAACAACATTTGGGTCGGCGTACACGACCACGCATAAATACGGCGAAAACGTTTGCATATTTTTCATAAGCATTTCTGTGACTTGCGAATTCTCGTGAAGCTGCGGTAATTGGAACTCTCTTCTATAGAGTCATATGGTATATATGTACTTATATGTATGTATAAAAATGCATTAGCTGGGCATTTTTGTAGCTGTTCCGGCGATAGGACTTTCTTCAAATGCTCGCTCTTAGTTAGTCTATTTCATTTTGTGGTGCATTTATTATTTCTGCCAAGCCGTTGCTGATTTAGCATTGTCTCAAGACGTCGTGCGGTTGACAGCTCGCAGTTGGCTAATTCATTCAATCTACTACGAGGTATTATTATTATTATTTCTACCCAACAGATGTGATAACGGAAAACACCGATTTTGACAAAAAAAAAATTAACAATTATTTATGTGCATAAAATCAACGTAGTTTATTTATTTATTTATTTATTTGTGTGTGGCATACAAGCAAATATTTGCGAACCTTCGCCTTCAATTCGCTTCTTCGCATACAAATACGCACGCCCTACTTTATTAATCTGCAATCTGTAAATAAAAATAATATAAAAACCAAAAATATACCAGAATATAGATCGCTGGTGTTTGCCGCCACATTGTCGGATCAGAGGTCACCAAAAATATTGCCAATTTATTTCTTTATTATTACTACTTGCACTTGATTATTTTTATTCCGTTTCATTTTTTTCGCCCGTGATTGATGGGTATTTTTGCTTTTTGGTGTTGTTGCAGTCGTGTGTGTGCTTCGTTATCTTATTTGCCGAGATCTCATTCAATGGGCTTACAAAAACAAAGGCAAGCGCGTACTTGATAATGAAGGAACAGTGCAAGCTTGAGGGATCTGGGGGCCAGAATTTAAAAATATACCCACATACAAATAAACACAAGGTGCTACCAATAATTAATTAATTAAATTGTTTTATTTTTATATTCTAGTTCATTGATGGTGGCCTCTTTGTTATATTTTAGAAATAAAATCAGCATTTGTATATAAATTATATTTGTATGGAAAATCTCTTTTGTCTATTTTATTGATATAAAAATGAAATTCAAATCTCGTAAAAAAATTGCGTGTTTAAGACAAATATTATAATTGATTTATGTTCGCGGCGATGGAAAGCTGCTAAAACGTATCACTTGGCATTTGCATCGTACGATTCTGGGCTTATATTCATGTGATGCTTTGGGGTTTTTTCCACACACTCCCTACATGACTCCTCTGCGATGTGATAAGAGCATCAGTGGAGGCATAACGGTATAAAGTTTATGGTTGTTTCGTGCAATAAAATCGAATCGAACATCCGATTATCTACGATCTCTGCTTCAGGCTGATATGCCAATGTATTAAGTTTAATTGAATGGAAGGGTGGGAAGAAGGCTCAGTTCAGTTGATTTGATTTTAATTGACTTTATATCTAAATCTAATTAAACTTAAGTTAAATGAACAGCCAACAATGCAGCACAGCTGTGTTCTGGGCCACAGGGACATCCCGGGCAATTGCATCGTAAGAAAAGAAAGAACTCTTCCATTTATACCATGTACACGATGCAGGGGTACGGAAAAGTAAATGCTAAAGCTGGCTTTTGCCGAAAAAGCAACCACTAGAAGGCTGATTGAGATCACCACAACCTAACCACACGGCTATGACCAAAATTGGACACGAAAAGATCAAGATATCTTATTTTTCTAGACCGGTGGGGATGAGAATTGATATTATTCTAATGATTTTTGTCGCAACTGCAGGGACCGAGGAGTAACAGAGTTTATGGTACATTACACCATTGTCAGGATTTGCAAGGAAGAAGGCTCGGGTGTCGTGTTGGAACTCTCGCGCTCTGGAACGGATGGAAGAAGAAGTGTCAATATTGGATATTAAGGCTTAGGAGGCCTACACGACATCTACTTTGGTTTGAAATAAAACTAACAATAAGTTAAAAGAAATTGCTTGCAACTGAGATGAGTGGAATTGTTTTCCGTTTAGTTGAATTGAGTTTAGTATCAACTAGATAAAGAAGCGAAGCGAATAGCTCTGGCACTGAGAGAAAGCGTATTCATGAAAAAATATATATGCGAACAAAATGAAATGCATCTTCTTCTTATAGAATCTGCAGCATTCAGCTGTTTATAGAGCCGTTGACGTCAATGCCAATGCAGATAAGAGAAGCGTAGGCGAATAAGGACACTGTCAATGACTAAAAATAGAATAACTTACGAGCTGATGATAGTAGGAGCGACTGACAGCATACAAGAACTGAGATTACGGACAAATAATGAATATCAAAAGAGGCTCTAAATATATTTAAATTATTATATATAATATAATTAATTATAATTTTAATTAAAAATAATTTTAAATGGCTTTTATCGTGTTATGATAACAGTTTTATGATGGTCAACTACTTTTAATATTTATAGAAATTTAGTCGCTAATCAGATTTAAAATAGTCTTCCTCATACGAAATCGAAAGAAAATACAGATCGTGTGGCGATCATAAATACTCATATACATATATACTATTCTCCTACATCGATTTCGTCGCCTTCAAAATAGTCCCCTGCAGTTGCAATGTACTTAGGCCAACGATTTTTCCAATTATCGAAGTATGCCAAATAGTCACATTCTGGTATGGCCCGCAGAGGGCGCTCTTAATCACGTTTGATCTCCTCAATCGACTCAATACGGTGTCGTCGAAGGGGTATCTTGAGTTTTTGGAAGAGCTTGCAGTAACACCGGGGGAATACAGTATTTGGGGAACAATGTTCGTCGAGTTTGCAGCGAAATGGTCACGAAGAATGAGTATTTGGTCCATAATTCTGGTCTTTTTTTGCGAATCGCTTTACGCAAACTCGTTTACACAGATCCTTCTAATATTCCAACAATGTCAGTATAGTTTCCACAGCCAATCTATGATCGATGATCAATCGACGTTGATGGTCGTCCCGGGCGCTACAAGTCATCAACACGTCTCCGACCTCTTTGAAGTCTTTGTACCACTTATACAAGTTCTTCTGCTGCATAATTGTGTACCCAAAGGCTTTCTGCATTCTCGACGTTTCAGCTGCCGAAAATTCGTTCTTTTTTGTTCAATTAAATCAGACATTATAAAAATCGTCGAAGGCTCTTTTAGTCCTTTAGTATTCACAAGCGTAATTCAAATACCAATGATGACATTGACATTAAATTTGGCTACCAACATTAAAAAAAAGAATTAACAAGAAGTTCAAATTAAGGAAAAAAGGAAAAAAATATCTCAATTTTCGAATTTTGAATGCGTTGCCATAAATAAAAAAAATAATAAATAAATTAAAAAAAAAATATCTAGAAAACCACACACAGGACAAGTCACAATGTTTATGCATACTAAAAGAATTCTTTTAATTGCCACATTAATTTCCAACTACGTCAACATTATCATAGCCCAGCATACATATGTACGTGTACATATATCATTTTTACTATAAATCCTACGCGTTGATAATTTAGCTAAAACGTAAAACTGGCAGGCGAAAAGAAAAAAAATGAATTCAGCGAATGTGAATAATTTTAGATTTTCCGTGAAAACAGTGAATATCTGGGAATGTTGGCAAACTGGCATATGAGAAGAGAAAAAAAAATAGAGAAAATAATTTTTACTCAAATTTGGCGGTTGCGTTTTAGCTGACACTGTTTTTATAGTAAAAAGAGTTGTCTCTGCTGTTTTAAGTAAAAATATTCTGCTAACGTCAGCTGAGTGTTTTTATCCATTGTCAAAATGCAAGTTTCTGCATAGCAGAGGGCGATAAGCTGAAATGAAATGAGGTCATTGTCAAAGAAAAAAAGAAAAGTTTTCTAAAAATATTAAAAGGACTTCTTCTTCTTCTTTACTGGCGTAGACACTTAAGGACAAGTTAAGGACAGCGCTGCATTCATTCCCTTCTACGCTGCTCTATAGCAAACGGAAATTCCAAGTACAGCCAAGTACAGCCTCGT